TGAACCTACACTGTCTTGTGTAATGAAATGCTGGTGCCTTCAAACACCTGTTGAAGTGGGTGAGAAGGTACTTGATGCTTTGCTGAGGAATTTAAAGCCAGCGAGACTGAGCACTGTAGGGAATGCTGGTTAAGGGCTTGACTTGGAGGAGGGGCACACAGTCTCTGACAAGAGCATATCACAGACAGAGGGCTGCAGGGAACACTGCCTGGCTGGTTATGAGTGCTTCGGGTCTGTGACAGCGAGCAAAGGGGACAGGAGCCTGTGCAGTATCTTCTGTGCCCTGCTCCCGTACTTCCCCACGCTAATGACCGTACAGCCAGCGTGCTGCTGCAGGGACGGCTGGGTGGGATCGCCAGCCCCACAGTGGGCTCTCCCCCGCCACGAGGGCAGGGACCATAAACTCGAATAGAAGCAAAGCTGTGAAATTTACTCGTGGCACGAAACAACATACAGCTCTGTTCTGTCAGTTACTCCGAGCTCAGAGTCGATTCTTATCTGACCGTTCCAGATAACTTTTACAACCTAGTTGCCCTCAGCAGGAGTGCATCAAATGCCAGACAGAAGAGTCAATGCTCTGGTTCAACCCGTACCACAGTCCTCAGCGGTTCTAGGTCAATTCGAGCAATTTGTGAGGCAGCAGAGTGGAATCAGATAAACCCCGGCGCTGTCACACCCAGGAAGCTGAACTGACTGCCAAAACACTGTGGCTCAGAAGCAGCCCTGTCAAGGGCCTCCTGCACCTTCAACAGCCGGTTAGTTTCGGACTTGGAGGGAGAGGCATTCATACGCTCGCCGATAACCTGCACGGGCGGAAACTCTCCGCGGCAGGTCAGGCTCAGCTCATTAGCGCGCAGTAGACGCTGCCTGACGAGCCCTGCCAGGCAGGGAGCCTGCCAGCCGTGCCCTGCCTCCTCTGCTCGCTGTTTTTAGGGACTTGTCGCTGTCCCCAGCCATCCCAGGCTCAGATTTCGTGAGGGGCAGACAGCTCATGTACTAATTATGGCTCCTGAAACGGGGCCAGCCACCCTGATCTTTCATGTGACTAATGAATAGACTTTGTTTCCTTCTCTTCTGCAGGCTTTAGTAAAAGGATAAAGTTCAGGATTTCAGAGAAAACTCCAACATAGCTTACTAGGCTTGGACAGTCCCTTAGTGCTTGGAAGCAAGAAAGGAGGATTACAAGGGTATTAACTCCAGCTCTCCCAAGGCCAGCTAGGCCAGGCCTTAATCTGTACTGGGTCAATTCAAGAGCTTTGTGCTTGGCAATGCCTCGTGGTCACGTTCCTGCTTTCCATACTCCCTAATACTGCCCTTTCAGCTTTGTAGTTTTTGAGCCTATGTTGCACTTATGGCAGGTTTGCTACTTTTCTGCAGCTCTTCATTGACCAGCATGTGAACCAGGGTGACGGTGGCAGGATGACCACAGCGTTATGGGGTAACAGTGGGGCGATGTGTGTCACTTCTGAGGAAGCCCCATTTTCCCTTAAGTGGCCAACCAGGTGAAGGAGCATGCACGATTTTTTTGCATTCCTGTCTGAAAAGCAAACCTGCTGCCTGATCTTGGCAGGACTGGTGTGTTTGGAGGAAAAGAGGTGGTGGTGGGGAGCAGGTTACTGAGTGCCACCAAACGTAGGGAAGCAAGGGAACGGTGTTTGCATTTGCAGGCTCAGTTCATGTTTGTGTACAGTGAAATGATGATGAGGAGGGTTGGGGAGACTTGAACAGCAAGGACTTGATGGTTAAAGGCAGTTTTCATTTCATCCTTGGTTTCTTCTGTAACTCAGAGCTTCCCAGCAGGCTCAGCCCTGTTCCTGAGTTGTGTTTTTTTTCCTTCCATGTGCAGTGTTTTTCTTCAGGAGTGATAAGAGTGGATGTGGACTTCCTTTCAGTAGAGTAACCCCTGTGTGATTGATTTGTGTGCTTCATTGCCAGAGGCAGCAAACAGTATGGAGAAACGTCTGGCTAGGCTGGGGTTCAAACCAAGGTGTGTCATGAGCAGGGGATGCTGGAGGAGAGCGCAAGTGAAGGGTGGCTTTGTGACCATGTGTGTCAAATCTGTCAGACTGACCTGAGCTGCAGTCAGCCTGCTGACAAGGCTGGCCACGTGGTGTCCCAGAGCAGGAGGGAACCTGGAGCTCTGCTGCTGTACCAAGTCCTGATCCTAAAGGAGCCCTGACGGAAAATATTTTCCCCCATGTATTACCATAGCTTCACCTATTCCTGTGCCCTGGTGCACCAGACATGCTCCCCTGTAGCCCACTGCCCTGGATGTATGCTCCAACACATCACCCAGTGCGATGCTACTGCCTCCTGTGCCTCACTGAGGAAGCTTAGATCTGCAAGAGACCAGGATTCCTATACAAAATTAACACTCAAAGTGACAAAAGCTCACCTGAATCAAGGGGCCTTCAGGATATTACAGTAGTAGCCAGACCTTCAGAAAGTTGGAAAAGCACCAAGAACGTTCTGCCACGCTCCTTCCCTTGTTTACCCTCTTCCATTGGGCTGTGGCCACAGTGTAATTGGCATAATCACAGTGTAATCAATACAGTCTGCAGTCAATAGAAAAGGTGGTGGCTGGATTGTGATAAAATGCAGATAGGTAGCTTCACGCTGGATGTGTAATCTGTGGGAGGGACACATGTATAAAAGGCTGCGTTGCAGAGTGCTGTGAATAGCTCTTTGCCTGACCTTTAAAAACAGGACATCCCAAAACATGGTGGATGTGGTTACCCAGGCAGGGGTTAAAAAACTTTCTTTTTCCTGTGTTATGGCCCTATCCCATTACTGCATGAATGGGCATTTCATTTCATTCCCACAGAGGGATCATTAGCTGCTGGGTCAAAAGCAGAAAAAGACAGCTCTGCAGAGGAAGGGCCTCTCCAAAGGGGTAGAGGATCCACAGCAGCAAGGACCAGCTACAGATTTTGCAGGGACAGCAGTTTTGAAAATGCAGGCACTTCTCTAAGTACCTTCTTGGCTTTGAGCTCTCCTGAAGAGCATCTGGTAAGTGCTAAACCAGTCTGGCTAGTTTTAATTATCTTACCCCAGTGCTAAGTCAGGTGTTTTATAGGATGGGAGAGCTGGGAAGGATGGTTCTTGTCCTCTGCTTGCCATCTCTGCGTCTCTGTGTTTCCCCATGGTCTGGAGAGTGCCTGGGTCCTGCCTGCCCCGTTAGCGGTTCTTTTCCCCCCAGCCGCTGGTGGTGTCCCTGAAGGCATCAGCCAGCCAGCGCGGCTAGGACCAAGACATGGCTGATTATAGGGTGGAGACGCTGGTGCTCTCAGTAATAGCTCCTCGTTTCCCAGATCTCTGCTTTGAATAACATCAAGGCTGACTGAGGAATTCCTAATTAAAGGGGACACAATCAAAGCTGAAACAATATTGCTTTGACTTCAGCCTGCAGTCCACTTCTGTCCATACTCCCCAGAGGCCAAGAAGTTCAGGGTAGAGATGTAAATATTGCACAAGAGAGAGCCCTGATTTGGCAGTTTATGTTTGCCTGTTTGTTTTTGTAGGGCCCATGTAAAAAGAATCATAGAATCGTAGAATGGTTTGGGTTGGAAGGGACCTTAAAGATCATCTAGTTCCATCCCCCCCTGCCATGGGCAGTGACACCTTCCACTAGATCAGGTTGCTCAAAGCCTCCTCCAACCTGGCCTTGAACACTTCCAAGGATGGGGCATCCACAGCTGCTCTGGGAAACCTGTTCCAGTGCCTCACCACCCTCAGAGTGAAGAATTTCCTCCTTAGATCTAATCTAAATCTACCCTCTTACAATTTAACGCCATCACCCCTTCTCCTACCACTACACATCCTTATAAAAAGTCCCTCTTCAACTTTCTTGTAGGCCTCCTTGAGATACTGGGGGAGTTGATTCTTTTGTCTCCTTAATTTGGTGCAAACCAAGAGTGGTGCCATTGAGGTTAGATCTGTCTCAGTGTGAGCAGACTGAGAAACTCACGGCTTCTGGCCCTGCAGCAGCAAAACAAATAAGACCTCTTTTCTCCAGCTGTGCACATGAAGTCATGCTGAGCCCCTTCCTTTCTTATACAGGACACCACAGATCACACAGCGTGTGTTTGCGCATTGGTAGCATGGGTGGCGTGGGCGGAGTTGAGCAGCCGCCTGTCCCAGCACTGGCCAGTCATGTGCTTTGCGGTGGTGACACCTAGTGGGGAGCACTTGGTGGCCTGGACTTTGCAGCCGGATTTGCCTCCTTGTGTGTTGTGGTGGAAGCCAGGGAGAAGGTGGCTGGGCTCTGGGGTGCCCTGAGAGCTGAACAGCAGCCCATGAGAGTGCCAGGACTGCTCCTAACCTTGCTGTGTCTTGTTTTCTGTTTTGCAGAGAAAGCTACCGATGGGTCCCTGCGAAGCGAGGACTGGGCTCTCAACATGGAAATCTGCGACATCATTAACGAGACTGAAGAAGGGTAAGGGAGCTGGCAAAGGTACACATCTAGCGGCAGGTCCCAGCACACCTGTAACACTACATCCCTAGACTGCACTGGTAGCATGCACTGGTGGAGGTAATAAGCTAGGCTTCTCAAGAGTCCCTTAGACGAGACTCTGCTAGGAGACCTAGAGACACGGCAAAGCTGTCAGAAAATATGTTAGATTCTTCCCCGTAAGCTTCGTGAGTGCTGGGAGCCATTCTAACAGGCTTTCAGGGTCCCCAGAGAAACCACGATTCAAGCCAAGCTGCCTCCCATCTCCCAAAGGCGTATTTGCAATTCTTCCACTTTGGTATATTCCTCCTTCATACCCCTCTCTTTCTCTCCTCTGGGAATGTAAAAATCTGCACGCTGGTGACTGAGGAGAGAGGAAAATCTCAGGCTGCTATTCAGTCCTCTGGGGTTCAGTGCAAGTCCTGCTGGGGTTCGCTTCTCAGGTATTTTCATGTATGGTCACTCAGACATGTGCCAAGTGGGCGGGGGAGCCCTTGTCTCCCTCTCCCTGCAGGGAGATGTTCAGAAATCTGCCAGACTTGTTAACTGTGGACCTGGGGATTTGCCAGTGAATTCAAGGGGCACTGCTCCTTCTCACTGTGGGAATGTCAGGAGCAGCATGTAAAAAAGAAGGTGCTACATGGAATAAAAAATGAAGGTTTCACTCCTGCTGTCCTACCCCACAGTGATGCTGACAGAGGATTAGCAAGCCCAGTTTTCAGCTTCACAGTTGTATGAAAACAAAGTCAAACATCTCTACTCACAGATCTGTCACCACTTCTTTTCCATGCTATTCCCACAGTGCCAATACGCCTGTCTCTGCCCACAGTTCTCAGTCTTGGTGTTTCAGTTCTGAGTGCCTGATAACACAGCTGTACCCTCCTGGCATGGCGGGCTCTCCCGTTGCCCTGCTAATGCCCATCCATTGCAGCCATGCTGCCCCACGGGCCAATACACTCCTGCCCTCCTCATTGCCTCAGTGTCTTCACCCTGCTCTTCTCCTCCAGCACTGCTGCTCTTCCAGCCCAGCCTCTCTTCCTGTGCTCTGCCAGACCATGTTGGTTCATTTGTGCCCTCTCACAAGACCACAGTGGGCTGAGACCACAGTGCTTCTGTCCTCTGAGAATGGTTAAGGAGACCCTGCTACACTGTTGCTCTCTTGCCCACCTCCAATATAGGCAAGATTTTGCCACTGCATCTCCCCTGCTGCTTTTTAGCCTCCTTTCCTCCAGGGAAGAGTTATTAAACAGCTTCTCTCTGAGCAACACAGGGATTGCTGCAGCTTGCTCTCTCCTTCCTGTTTTTAACCCATGCCAAGCTTTTTTGTGATCTCCTTCACTTCAGTCTCTCTGCCATGAGATTTTGCTCTACCCCCAAGTAGTGCATTTCTGGCATTGCTTTTACTCTGCTCTCTGTTGAGTCCTGTACACCTTGAGCTGTTGCAGACATCAGCACAGAGGCCTCCAAGTTCAGTAACAGCGCTCATTAGCAGGACTCTCCTCCCCTTGCAGAACCACAGGCAGAAGCTGCTTTACCAGTCATTGCTTCAAACCTCTCTGAACACATGGTGGTGAGGGTCACCTGCTGAGGCATCCAGAGCCAGTGGCTGTTTTGCTTTGCCTCTCTTTAGGAGGGTCTCAACCTTCTGATGATATTTCTTCATCTGATTTCTCCTGCAGGCCCAAAGATGCCTTCCGGGCCATTAAGAAGAGAATTGTAGGGAATAAAAACTTCCATGAAGTTATGCTGGCTTTGACGGTGAGTGGTCAGGGCTCTTTCTCAGGTCTGTGATATGCTGCTGTAAAGCTGAGCCTCTGGCTGAAAAGACATGGGTACTTAGAGCCAACAAGACAAACACACATGGGCAGAGGCGGCTATAGCTAATGCTTCGTTGCCTTTGAAGGTCCTGGAGACATGTGTCAAAAACTGCGGCCATCGCTTCCACGTCCTTGTATCCAGCCAGGACTTTGTAGAAGGAGTCCTGGTGAGAACAATCCTGCCGAAGAACAATCCACCTGCCATAGTACATGACAAGGTGCTGACCCTCATCCAGGTGAGCCAAGAAGCATGAGCATCCGCACCAGTTCAGAGAGTGCTTGTCTTTAGGTGTTTGTACAGAAGGCCACTGTAAATGATGACGGGCTGTACTGTCTCCTTCTCCCCAGTCCTGGGCGGATGCCTTCCGCAGCTCACCGGACTTGACTGGTGTCGTTGCTGTCTATGAAGACCTGAGACGGAAGGGCCTGGAGTTCCCCATGACTGATCTGGACATGCTGTCACCCATCCACACGCCACAGAGGGTATGGGAGCATCATCAGAGAAGGGGTGTTGGGCAGCTGCCATTCTGGAGCTATGAGAGCACTTCAAGAACTCTAGCTTGCATTTAGAGGGCTCTTGGGGAGGGAGAAGCTCCAGGATAGCCTTTGCTGTAAGAGCTATTGAAAGCAGATGGGGAGTTACCATCAAAGTTTCTCTCCTAATTGCACTGCCCTGTCAGCTGTGAGTGTCTAACATCTCCTTCTCTCTGTCACTTTTCCCACCTTTGTCTGTAGACTGTGTATAGCTCCAACTCCCAATCTGGACAGAACTCACCTGCAGTCAACTCCCCTCAGCAGATAGAGTCCATCCTCCACCCTGTCACCCTGCCCACCGGGAGGGGCACATCCAGCGACGTGCCCATCACACCCACACCAGAGCAGGTGAGTTGGACATGAGCCCCGTGGTGCTGCTGACTCTCCCTGCATTTGGGGGCTGTTTCACAAACACTGTTCTGGGACTGCTGTCCTGGTCCTTTTCCAGCCTCTGTCCTCAAGGAGCCATTCCTCTAAAGCATAGTCCCTCGAGAGCTCCCCAGAGCTCCATGGTGGTCACATGGATGACCTGGGATACCACAGGCACGGACTGGTTATGTTTTTGTAAGACAGGGCAGCTTGCAGGAAGAGGGAAAATTGCCTGGCTACAGGGAAGTGGAGAACGGAGGCACTGAGGTTTTGAGCAAGGTCCTTGTAGTGCAGTACAGCAAAAGCTTGCCCAGTAAATGCCTCCTTATCATCTTTGTTTATCTTGCCTCACCACTGACTTTATATGAATCAACCCTATCTGGCTATGTGGTTTCCAAAGACCAGGGCTTTCTCTTTTGTTTCCCCATCCTCTTTTGTCCTTCCTCACCCTGACTTCATGTGACACTATGTTCAGCACCAAACCTCCAGCTGTCTGTTTGCAGGACAGACAATAGAAACTGTTCTCAAGATGCTTATTAGCAGCTCGTGAAACCAGAGAGATAAAGCTTCAACTGCACACTTAGCCGAGGCTCGCCTTTTGAGTGGGAATTCATTTTTTCCCCCTCTTACACTGCTTTGGAAATGAAACGATTTGAATGGCTGCCATACAGGAGGCACTAGCTAGGGAGAGATTTGAATCATAACAGCAGCCTGTGCTGGCAAGGCTAGGCTAGTGGCCAGAGATCCCAGGTGAGGGCCTGGCATCTGTTACCAGCAAGTGAACTTGATAGTAAGTAATGGAGCTTCCTTCTGCTGAGAGCTCCTGAGAGCTAAACTGAGCAGTGACAAATGGATGAACTACTCAGGGATATGATTTAATGGGGATTAGGGACGGTTGGACTGGATGATCTCTAAGGTCTTTTCCAACCTAGAAATCTATGAAATCTATGAAATCTATGAAATGAACTCCCCAGTGACCATTCCCTTCGGCTCCGTGAATGCTCACACACATGCGGCGCACTGCCATTCAGAGCTACCTCAGCTCCATCTCCCCAGTCTTCCCAGGCAGAGCTGTCACTTCCTCTCCCTTTTGCAGATTGAGAAGCTGCGCAGTGAGCTGGAAGTGGTGAATGGGAACATGAAGGTCATGTCGGAGATGTTGACAGAGCTGGTGCCGTCCCAGGCCGAGCCTTCTGACCTGGAGCTGCTGCAAGTAAGGAACACTGGCGAGGCAGAGGGCAGGCACACGCAGCTTGATTTAGCAGTGACTTGATGGACTGAGGCATAACACATGCCCGGCGTGAGGAACAATTGGACAGTTTAGAGAGGGGCCTATCAGGGAGCAATGGGATAAGGGAGACACAGGGAAGGTGGAGTTTCAATGGCCAAGGGAAGTTGCACTATTGAGGTTGTAATCATCTCACATGGGGACTTGTAGTCCCCGAGGGCCTTTCTTTCTGGGTGATGTGTTACACAGGAGGCATGTAACTATTGTCTGTAAAGCTCAGACTCAGTTTACCTCTCACACCAATATCCGTTGCCCATTAACCCTTGCTGATAGACCCCAGTAGCCTCTGAGGTCAATCTGTCCCAGTCAGACTTCCAAATCTGTAAGTGCTCAGCCTTAGCCTGACCTTTGTGGTAACTTCCCCTTGCTGTGAGCAGGAGCTGAATCGGACATGCAGAGCCATGCAACAGCGTGTGCTGGAGCTGATTCCCCGTGTCCTCCATGAGCAACTCACTGAGGAGCTGCTCCTCATCAATGACAACCTCAACAACGTGTTTCTGCGCCATGAAAGGTACTTCTCTTCTCCCTTCTCTGCCCTGTTCTTCCACAAGAGTTTACTGCCCCTTGAAGACCTTCTATCCCACCCTTTTGATCTGCCCATGAATATCATGCTCAAGATGTATCAGCTTGTATCATCTATCTGTCTTTGAGAACAAAGCCAGACCTCAGTTTTTGCTGGTTTATTCCTGTCCCTTCAAAACTACTGTGTAAGTTACTGATGGAACATAAAGATCTCCCCATGGCATAACCCAGAAGAAGAAGGAGGGAACTGCATGGAAAGAGCTGGTTTTCTAGCTCTGAGGCAAACAGGGAAAGGACTTGTCTAGCTAGGATCAGCACCCCTTTCTTTTTTCTTCCAGTTCATCAAATCCATCTCTTAAGCTAGGATGAAGTCTGAAAAATTTAGTCCCTCTGTCTGTATGGAGAGCTGGGTTTGAACCATTTTGGTTAGAAGTAGGTCTGGAGGATCACAGGAAGCTTCCTTACACCACCTCTCAGGAGACATCAACTCTGTGGGCCTTGTGTCTTTGGTTTTGAGGGTCAATTGGGCCCTGAGCCATGGTCCTCCTTTCATAGAATCCTAGAATGGTTTGGGTTG